ATTAAATGTTTTTATAATGTGTAATTTAATTATTTATTTTGTTTGGAAGCACTTTCTCATGTATTTCGTAAATAATTGACGTATTTTCTAAGTGCGACTTTTTTTATGCGGTCCCTCTCCGCCGCATAAAAAAAAATTTCTGTAGTATGTCGTACAAAGTTGTTTATTATATGTAGTATTTATGAAATTTCCGAATATTTTTTTGTGCGGTTTCTTTTATGCGGTCCCTATCTACCGCATAAAAACAGGTTTTACTGTACTTAATATCGACTGCTATGACAATAAACGTGTTCCTAATGGGAAACAAAATTATTGCAACGAAGCCTAATATAAACAAAAGAACCGTGTTTGAAGAATCACAAGTATCAAGCAGCGCCATCTTGAAAGCTCTTACTTCGTTGATGTTTAATATGTTCAACTAAAAAGAACGGGGCACTGTGTTTGAGTAACTGTCACGATCAATTCGAAACGACACGACGCGCTTATTAATCAAACCGCGATAATATGAACGATGGGAATCCGCTCGTTTTACGTCGAACAACGTGTCAAACGCGAGCGAAAGCGCGCCCTATTCAAAGGCCTGCGCGTATCGTGAAAAAGAAAATAATCAATTTCGCCTTGTACTCGGTCCGTACGGTTAGAAACACCTACACGTCAATCAGCTCACTTCCCGTTTTCCGACTCCTTAAACACAAATCAATCATATCCGCACTACCGAGTTCTATTTGTGTGCTTTCCTCCGGAACACGTGTTTCATTAGGAAAACGTGTTGACTCGCGCGCGCCGTACCGATATCGCCGACACGGTAGAGGCATACATACCACGCGACCGGTTTATGTCAAAACGGTGTCGTTTTTTCGTTTAAATTGCAGTAATGTCCCTATACTCAACTATTAACCCATAGCACACGAAGATGAAACGATAGAATGGTGAAGGTTATGGGTGTATTCTAATCTAGAGTGTCATTTCGTCCAAGGGTATATTCTAATGTAGAGTGTTTGCTTTTTACAAATAAATACATATTTATGCATTCTTTACGAATATTCAATCATTTTTGTGAAGTGGAAATGATTAAAATTGGTACGGTCCCTTAATAGTCCGGCAGCCGGGAAACATTTTCCTTACGTCATTTGATTACAACTGCAAAATTGTTGAGGCTTTAATTAATTTATTGTTAGTTAGAAATGAAAAAATGGTTGTCTGGCAGTTTGGATACACTGCGTTTGGCGATGTTATAGTGTTGAAGTTGTAAAAAAATTACAATACCCTTACGTCATTTGATTACAGCTGAAACTTATTTTGTCATTTTCAGTGGTCATTTCTCGTGTCTATTGAAATGAATTGGTATCTTACTCTAAGAGCCGAGACGTGGTTCCTGGGAGTAAAAAAACGGGGGTTACCAAAAATCCATTAAAAAACATGGATTTTGAAGTAAATTGGTGCGAGGGATCCGAATAAAATATTGAAAAAATTCTACGGCATTTCCTTTTTAAGTTATGTCCAAAAAAACCGATTTTTTATTACGAGAACTACTTTAGGAAATTTTTTTATACAAAAAATAACGTCATATTCAAATTCAATACCCTAAAAAACATATAGATGCCGGGTTTTAGCCAATTATTCTTAAAAAAGAGGATTTTGCCGTTTTTCGTTTGCGCCCCAATAATATGAGTAAAATGGGTCCATTGCAGATACAATTTTTATGATTTCTTAGTTACGATGAGTACTTTCAAAACATACATTCCAAATCGGGCAACTCCATTCCCTGAAAGTGAATGTTTACTTCTTAGGCACACAAGTAAAGCTATACAAAGATGCAACGTATGTAATTATCGTTTTCCACTCGGAAGATATTACAAGTATGGTGTCTCTCCTGAATTTACTCTATGTAATTTGTAATCCTAAACGAAAAACTCAACAAAAAGGGGATTGTCGGAAATTATTTAACAGTTACATTTAAGTCTGACATAAAAACCGATATCTTTAAGAAACTTTAAAAATTATAATCTCCAGCAGCACCTCATTACATTTCACATCTAGCCATGAATTTCCAAGACTAATTATATCGCACATTTATGTTTTTGACATACAGAAGATGATACGTGATGGATTAAAATTTAAACGATAAGCCTGCTACTCACTTGTAATATCAGGACGAAGACGACCCATTGGTAATATTTCACGCTCCTGGTCGTGTCACGTTCAACAGTCGGATCGTTTTTCCGCCAATTAAATCGATCCCATCGATGATTCCCGGAGGATGGCCCGACACCACGCGCCGCGACGTTGCTCCCAGTGATGCCCAACATCGCCCCGGTCACGAAATAAGTACTGTGTATCCAACAGTACGCGTTGAATGCCTCCACGGGGATTTCTCTGAGTGAATGAAATCTCTTTCATCAATTCTTTTCCCAAATACGTGGATGAAGCGCGATAAAATAAGTTAACCGTATTTTGGGGGGGGGGGGGGGGGGGGGCAGAAATATTAACACATCGACCGCCACAGTGAAAAAGGTTGTACGTAGCCGGACACAGTTTATTTTGTTTTTAAAGTCATAAATCGTTGAAAATGTATGCGTTTTATTAATGGAGGCTGTTGGTCGTGTTTTAAATTATACTGCAATATTAAATATTACGCAAAAATTTTGTAACTCTGAGAAGGGGGAGGGTGGCAAAATCCAATCTTTTTCTTGTAGGTGGCACAAAAGCCACTTTTTTCCGTCCAGAAGAGGGGCAAGTGCCCCTCCCTGCCACCCTTAGCTACGCCCATGCCACGAAACGTGATCAGCTTAGGTTATTCTACTGTCAGCTGTTCGATCGAAAATTGTTTGGCTAATGTAACATGATCCAAGGAGAGCTTTAAGATAATTGTACCGAGTTTTTTGTCAACCCTTTTGTTCCAGAGTTTTCAAGGTCGCATTCAGATTTTTATAGATGAATCTACAATTGATTTACGCCCATCTTTTAGCGGATACTGAGACGAATAATTCGACAAGCATCGTAACAAATAAATTTTTTCCTTGAAACCCGAGAAACATTAAGAAAATATCATTTACCTTAAAGGGCTATATACCTTTAACCTGTTAGATATGAGGGAAAATTAAACAATTTTTTAGTATATGCAGAATTATGGTTTATTAAAACATCAACATACATATACATCTTATTGTATGTTATTTACGTAATAATTTCTGAAAAATTAAGCTATACATCTGTCAAAAGAAGAAAATGGCTGCCATTTAATTATAACCCATATCATCAAAACACCTTCTACGGTACCAGATATATCTCTGTGAACTTTTATCTGAAACAAGTTTTTTAAATTTTATATTAAAATAGACCAAAGGAACTAATACTCATCAAAGCCAATTTTGAAAATGTTAATATTTTATCATTAACATTTCCAACATAAAGTTTCAACTTCTTTTGTTATTGAAAAAAGGAAAGATGCACGAATCGAAAATTTGCTTCTTCAAATACCTACTAGATTTTAGTCTTAAGGATATAACCACAAAGTTTGATCCAAATTAGTTCTGGGTTCGTTTAAAAATTTCTGGTGCCCATTTTGAAAACTGAATTTCGAATAATACGCTTTTAAACGGCAGCCATTGTCTTCTGTTGATAGATATACAACTCAATTTTTCAGAAATTACTAAGGAAGTAACATATAAGTAGATGTATATGTTGAATTTTTAATAAACAATAATTCTGCATATAGAACAAAATTTGTTAATTTTCCGTCTTATTTAACAAGTCAGAGGTATGTAACCCCTTAATTAAAACGATGTTTCGTATGATGTCCATCAGCTGCAATACACTCGCGTAAACGTTTAAGAAACGACTGCCCAGTTCGACTTATGACGTCTGCACTGACGGTAATGCATGCAAACAAATTTTCGATCGAACAGCTAGCAGTAGAATAATCTAAGCTGATCATGTTTCGTGGTCCACCGTGTATATAAAATGCTTGGATGACTCACTCATCAACACTCAGCCTAAACCGTTGTACATTGACAAGCAAACTCGGCTTCCACTAGGGAAAAAAGTGACGTAAAGGAAGGACCTCCTGCGATATGATTTCCGGAATTATTGAAATGTATGTCAATTTAACATTCGATTTAACATTAATTTCAGTACTTGAAACAAATTTATCAAGTGGTAGGAGGTACGCTACTTTTTCCCCTAGTGGAAACCGAGTTTGCTCGTGAGGATACACTGACGTGCAAACTCGGCTTCCGCTGGGGGAAAAAGTTGACGCAGGAGAAGGGTCTCCTACCATGCTACTACCTGTTGGTATTTGGAATTACTGAAATTTATGCCAAATTAACATTCGATTTAACATTAATTTCAGTACCTGGAATAAATTGACCAAGTGGTAGGAGACTTTTCTTTTACGTCACTTTTTCCCCTACTGGAAGCAGAGTTTGCTCCTAAATGTACATACCTAAAAACGTGAAATTTGGTCAGTACTAGAGTAGACTCGCGTTAAAGTAGCGCACGTTAAAGTAACGGTAGGAACAGCCACAACTCATACACATTACTCACACACGTGCGAACACCCCACTGTCGATCGCCATCTGTAACCAAAGTTCTGATCGAATTGGTGGATCGACCGAACTGCCTTGAAATCCTGCGTGCCCACGTTGAAGTAGCGTTTCCAGCAAAAACCTGCGTCGAGAGCCCCGCACCGCTACTTTAACGTGAGTCTACTGTATTTCTTTCATGACATAGACAAGGGATAAAAAAGGATTTTTCGAAAAAGAGACTCTAAGTGGGTAAGAAGGGATCAAATTTTTTTCAAAGAATATCCATATCCCAGAAGTCACTAAAGTTGGAGACATAAAGTTCGGCATGTAAATACCTGATTAAAAATAAACAAACACGTGTTTGAGCGTTTTTCGAAATTCAACTCCTTGTCTCGTTTAAATTACCTAATCGAGATCCCGCTGCATTAAGTTTTGTATGTGTAATATTTCAAATTGAAACAAATGTAGGATTCTTGTTTTAAATAATGAAATTGCTCGCTATCTTTCGATCCTACGTGAAAAAGCCTGATAGTCATCCGCGAATGGTTACTTTTCAACTGTACCTCGTGTGTACGCATTCTATTGGATTCCCCACGACTTGCTTGCTGCTGATGATTATGGTGAACGTCAGTATCAATACCGTTGTCAATGAGTGGAGCCTGAGGATGACACCGTTGTCTTTTATTCTGGACACCTAAAGAACAACGATCCATTCTGTTCTACTCGCTTTCGCATTGACGTCTGATTACTGCGCCCCGTTCGTTTTCGACGTGGATTTCAACTGGATTCTCACTTTCCGTCAGACTTGGGCCCAATTCTATTCTAATACTGAGCGTCGGAATAAGGGGGAGTCTAGGGGGAGCTGTAGCCCTGGGCCCCACGTTCCAGTGTGGGCCAGTTCGAAACCTTCCATTTCGTTATGATTAAATGTTATTTAACTTTATTTAAATTTAAATTTTTTAAGATTTTTTTATTTTGTTATGCTATATTACGGAAAATCGACCCCACCCCGATTTTCAACCAAGGGGGCCCCCGAAAATTCGATAGCCCTGAGCCACAAAAAAACTTAATCCCAGCCTGCTAATACGACAACTAACAAGGAATGCTCGTGAAGTGATATACACCGATTTTTCGATAACGTTGCTGAATTCTTTATGGGATCAACCTAAGAATTTTCCGTATTTGGTTGGTGCTACTTTTGAACTTTAAAGGAGAAACCATCTTTTTTATCCGAAGCATTAATTTTACATATTTGCATGCAACTCGTAAACTACAAAAAATATCGAACAAAAGTTGAGATCTATTTTGTATCGTTTTTTGTAGTCCATATATTGTAGGAAGTAATTTTCGAAAAACTTATATTCAAAAAAAGTGTTCAAAAACTTATTTTTTTTTTAATCTCTTCGTATCGATATATCGAAAACTAAAAGTTATACAAAATTTATTAAAAGTATTTAAAAGTAGTACCAACCAAGTACAAAAAAATTCTTAGGTTGGTCCCATAAACAATTATGTAAAGTTACAGAAAAATCGGCGTGTATCATTTCGCGAACATTTAATTGTTTGTCAGTGTAATCATTCAAGAAGAAGTACATATGTATTATTTTATAATAAAACATTGAAATTTTCACATGTAATAAATTGAAAATGGCGAAGTACTTTTTTTCTTTTATTCGTTATTCGAAAGTATTTATCTAGATAATGAATTTACCCATCACTGCTTTCGATTAACTCGACTGATAGTCGCAGTTTTAAAAATCTTTCAAAGTAACCGTTTTGATAATCACATATAGTGTATGTATTTGTTACCATTAGCGTGGGACTAAGTAGAGTAGAGCCTCCCGTATCGGAACACCCTAATACTCGATATTCTGTTATCCAAACAGATCAGCCTTCTCCGATCGCAAATATACACAGTGTTTCCGAAATACTGATACCACCCGAAAAAATGTGAATTTACATTGAAAAATAAGTCGAAAATTAAGAACATTTTTTTGTACGATGCTTCGTTTTCGAGAAAATCGAATTTAAAAATATGCTGGACACGCGTGCAAGTGAATAGGACTTGGCTAACGCGTCTGTTCATTACATTCTGTTTCTACTTATTGTCACTGAATTGTGAATACACAGTATACAGTGTATAGGGTGTTCACGGTAAATTGGACCTGCGTTTTTCTCGTATACAGTAAGTATTTCAAAAAAATGGAATAGGAAGAACTTACAGTATACCTTATTGGCAACACAATAACCTATGTAAATTTTTTATATTTGCATTATTTTTCAAGAAACAAAGGTGATTTACAGTGTTTTAAATAAAATGCTATATGTTTCTTAATGTCATTTGAAAACGTGAGTCAAGACAAATTCACTCATCTGTAACACAATGACTTCCAAGGTCATAGAAGATTAGAAATAAGAGGACCAGACATGGATTTTTTGTATGGGGTCATATTAAAGATATTTTTTATACTATATCGCCAAGAGATTTAAAATATATATATCAAATGAGTAATTTTTGCATTAAAAAATATACCTTTACTGTTTTTATTATAATTATTATTATTATTTACATTTTAGAATCACATTTTCGAGAAGTCTAATTCAATTGAATGGTATTGGTCACGGTTTTGATAATATATTATTTTTGTACACTTGCGGTTAACAAAAACACTGTTTCACTTACAGAGTATTTATAAAAATCGTCACACAGTAAAATGAAACATGTCTGAAGTCTTATAACATGAAAAGAAGTTTATTAGCGTTTAACCCGCTCGCTACATCTTTTTGGTATCTTGTACAAAACATTTTTCTTTCATCAAATCCAGAACCAATAAACATTTTAAGACTATACAAAACGTTTTGAAAAATACTTTTTTATGAACAATGTGTTTGCTCACAACGAAGAACCAATTATTAGTTACTCTGACACCATTTTTTTATTGATCGAATGTCATTTAAAAAAGGTTCGTACTGCCGATCCTCAAAAAATGTTCCAAATATTGTCACTAAAGTGATAAGTAGCGTCTACTGTTTTGAACAAATGCAGTTAGCGAGTTAACAATATTAAAGAGACCCTAACTGTTATAACCACAATTTAAAAAGTGACGGTATAAGAGTTAATATCTTTCTGTTAATGATTTTGGTTACGAATAACCATTATAAATGATTAAAACTTTTGTCGGTTGCACGTAACTATTATCGATGACGAGAATATTATTTTGGTTACCGATAACCATTATTGATGACAGAAATTTTTTTTGGTTACGCGGTAACCAATATACATGACGAAAGTTTTATTTTGGTTACTTTCGACCATTGTCAATTTTTATTCACGTTATTTTCACTAATATATCTATATTTTATCTGAAAATATATAAATTCTATAATTCATTTTGCGTCACTGATAGATACGTCAATAACAATATTAAAGAGACCCTAACTGTTATAACCACAATTTAAAAAGTGACGGTATAAGAGTTAATATCTTTGTGTGAATGATTTTGGTTACGAATAACCATTATAAATGATTAAAACTATTGTCGGTTGCACGTAACTATTATCGATGACGAGAATATTATTTTGGTTACCGATAACCATTATTGATGACAGAAATTTTTTTTGGTTACGCGGTAACCAATATACATGACGAAAGTTTTATTTTGGTTACTTTCGACCATTGTCAATTTTTATTCACGTTATTTTCACTAATATATCTATATTTTATCTGAAAATATATAAATTCTATAATTCATTTTGCGTCACTGATAGATACGTCAATAAAAATAACGTTTATAAAAATTGTCGATAGTCGAAAGTAACCAAAATGAAACTCTCGTCATTGATAATGCTTAGGTGCAACCAAAAACAATTTCCGTCATTGATAATGGTTATTCATAATATAATTTTCGTAGCCAATAATGGTTATTCGCAACCAAAAAAAATGTCCGTCATCGATAATTGTTATTGGTAACCAACACAAATTTTGATCATCTATAAAACATAGTTATTCGTAACCAGAATAGTTAAAAATCCATGTTTTTTGATCACGTCATTTTTTGAAAAATTTCTTCGATATTTATTAATATCTGGTTTTCATTTAAATCAAAATTACTTTTTGCTCAATGATTTTTTTCCGAAAAATGTTTCAAATAACTGTTATTTTTGGTCTCTGAATTAATTAAATAGGGTACAATGCGAAATATTAAATATTGCTCAATAAAGAAAACTGGACTTACACCACTTAAAAAAAACGGCTGATATGTGCATACGAACTTCTCCCGTTACTTTGACGTTTAGACTGCACACCTGAAAAATGTCACGTACTTTCATTAACATCCCGCTAAAATGAATTAACACTTCAACTACCTGTCGTGTGCACCAAAATGGATACACAACTGAACTTCATAGAGGAACTATGTGTCTATACATATATGGTCCCAGTAAAGCACTACATTCTATAAGTTGTGTGCAATAAATGGACGCAACTATCGTTAATTGCTCTAATGGGTTCTACGACATCAGTTTGTAGGTAAATTCTGGTGGGACAGTTCAATATTTATAGTGTGATATTTTATCAAATCCATTAGTTAAAGTGTCAAGGAAGGCTAGCAAACGGTTCATTCCAATGGAAAGCGAGAATCCACGAAACTCCACGACGTTCATTCGGTAACCCACTGGGTTCAGGAACGCTTACACGTATGAAATAATAAAACCCTGTGATAATGTCGATCATATTGGTTCTGTTCTCCCTCTTGTTTTCGAGAATCCCATCGGACGTAGGTACCAGTTCACCATTTACGTGATGACCAGCCGAAGACTCAATGATCAGCGCATACTTCATACTGGAACGATCGGGATCGAGTTCGATATCGGAATCAACGAGCACCGAGGTGGATCTTTCATTTCTAATCTCGACAGGGTTCTTCGCACTAATTCACATCGTGTCACACTTGAGAATAAAGGAATACGAACTATATCGCGACTCGAATCCCTTCTAAACCGCCAATGGATACTTCTCGAGAACGGTTTTCCTCCGAAAACTGACTGGGAACACATCCACGGTAGTGGAATGGCCACCGATTGCCAAAACACGATCACCACGACTGTGACTTTTCTCTGATCTCTTTTAGGTCCGTCCAATTTTATTTTTGTAGTTTTTACCCTTCCCTCCCTCTCTCTCTCTCCCCCTCTGACTCTCTTCGTCTCTCTCCCTACCTCTATCAACCCTGCTCCCCCCTAACTCGTGTTGGCGCCAATGTGACAACACGATTCAGTCTACACAGTTTGCCTAGCGATCGCCTCAACACGCTTTTAATTTGTATTTCGTCGAAATACAAGTCGAAATTTCAGATCTTTCGAAATTCAAGAATTTTATACCAAAAAAAGTATACATACAGTGGGTAACGAAAGTATTCACACACTCTTTAAAGCAGAACAACTTTTTTAAAATTGGTCCAATTGACGGGTTTTTTTGTGAAGTTCAAAACATTAGTTTACTAAATGATGTGTAAAAAAATTTGAAAAAGTTGCGATTGGTCGGAATTGCGAAGAAAATAGTAAAGGTCGCATTTTACAATTTTTTAATCTGAGGCTGTAATAAAAAGTTAATAAATAGATATCAAAGATTTTTGTTAGTTAAGTATATGCATACTGAAAGTTTCATTGAAATCGGTTGATACTGAAGCGAGCGAGAGGCATCAAAAGATGTAAAAATTGTTAGATTTACTACAATTGTATGTCAAAAGTCGCGAGAACTATGGTTTTCAACATTTTTAATCGTTTGTATCTCATAGCAACGATAATCGATATTTATTAAATTTTTATTACAGTCTCAAATGAAGGAGTTGTAAAAAGCAACCTTTACTATTTTCTTTGCGATTCCCACCAATCGCAACTTTTTCAAATATTTTTACACATCATTTAGTAAACTAATATTTCTAACATCACAAAAGAACTCAAGTCACTTGGAGCAATTTTAAAAGAGTTGTTCTGTTTTGAAGGGTGTGCAAATACTTTTGTTACACCACTGTATACATTCTACCGTATTTTTATGTAATTAGTCGTTCCAGTTCTGAATAGGGCAAAATACGACGAAACTACGCAACTTTTGCAGAAACATGGTGTTACAGTATTTGTTGACAACGATAACAACCTATTCAGTCTCGTTTAAGTTACTTTTTTACGAGTGTCCACTCCAATATCGTGCTGCTAATCGATAAAAGAAAAAATTCAGTAAAATGTTTTGACCAATGTGTTTTGGTCCAAACATTTTGCAATGTTGCTTTGTTATCAACTAGAAGCACTGATACATCAAATGTAATCTAGAAATGCTAAAAATATACAGAAAAACGTAAAACAAGACGAAAATTTAAAAAATTCTAATTTTTTATCTTCAAATGAGAAGCATAGCATTTAGGAATAATGAGAACATCGCGTTGTAAAGCGGAAGAGGCATACAAAGTGGTAAGAAACAAAGCAATTAACCGGGGACTGTGTAATGTAGTTTTTTATCTCTTGTGTAATTTTGTATAATAAAATAAAAGAAACTTATAGAGTGGATGCACCAGTAAATGAACACGTACCACATAATGAACATTATATATAAATACGAGTAAATGAAGTTATTGAAATAAGCTAATACAGTAGGCGTTCATTTATTGCAGGCTATTTTATTGCAAAATAGGACCGCCCTTGCTCACACGTATTTCTCACACACGTGCGCCCACCCCACTCTGTCGTCCAACACGTCCAGGACGGAATACATACAGTGTCACGTTTCATCCATATATTTCACTACAGAAAGCGAAGTGTATATAATATTGTTTTAATAAAATGTTTCATCGTGTTTAGATGTTTTCAGTTATAATCAACTACATTTCGTATTATGCTTAATTCATATTGAATATAAGTAGTTATGTAAGCAAATAACTTATAACAAAATCAGTGTTGAGCATAATCTCTCTGGTCGTAACAATGTTAGATATCATTAACGTGGTGAATCATAGAAATCGAAAAGCTGCAAAAAATTGAAAATTGGTACATATGCAGTTTATAAATGAAATCAATACCTATTAAAAAAATGTGTTTTCCTAGGGTGTGATAGTGCATAACTTATTACATAAAATAGTACAAAGTAAAACCGAACCAATAATACTGTTTTATATAAATGATTATTCCTATAAATATTACATCTGTATATAAAATAATTAAAAATCTCAACCTATATATAATTGTACAACTATTTCAGCTTAAGAAACAAGTAATTTTTTCAGTGTATACTCTTCAATTTGTTACTTATAATATTTTGCTTCTAAGACACTTTTGGATATATGTATAAAAGTATTAGTAAATGTTTAATTCTTTGTCCAGCGATCTCTACTTGAAAGTACTAACAGAAGGTTCTCAATAATAAAATCATAGAACAGTAGGATTGAATATCTTAAAGATATTATGATAATTTAATATCAAGTATGTCAAGATGACTGATTATGAGTCAGAAGTAAAATATTATATCTAACAAGCTTAATGCAATGAAGTTAAAACATTGTAAAACAGGTTTGTCAAACAGGTTGAGCTTTTCTGTTATTCCATATTAGTAGCACGTAAATGAATAATATTTTCCTGGAAAAATAGTCACATTGCATCAGTTTTTCTCCTTAGATACTGTATTTTGTTGCAATCACTAACCCGTGTTATTCTACTTTTACACATAATTAAGATAACTAAGCAAATTTAGTTATTAATCATTTTGTATGTCGCAATTTTATTCATATTATTGATTACATTGTTTACAATAAAGAAGAATACCTGAATCTACTGTTTAATCCTACGTGCATTATAAAAAATAGTCCAGTAACTTTGAACACTTTAATTATCTTTAATATTTTACAGTGTGTATATAAAATATCTCACGAATTACACTGGTCAACATTGTTTTTGTCTCAAACAACAATTATACTGATTCTTATAGATTTTTTTGTGCTGAATATGAATCCGTAAACATTTTTTTGTCATCACCTCCAGTTTCCGAGAAATTTCATTTTTTTGAAAAATACAAATTTTCAACTTTCAACATTTCCTGTGTTCAATGTTACAAAATTAATTGTAACAAAACTAATAGTTATGCAGTTGATTGTTGCGTCAAAGGCGACAGTCGAGCGACAGTCAAACACCTGAGCTTGCCACCTTTGAGTACCACTACCAGCGTCGCAGGTTTTACAAAACTATTTCGCTCTTGTATTGAACACAAAACGTGTGTTACCATTTCTGTTACTGCTTTCCGGAAGAAAAATGTTTACTGTATCTGCTGACACAGTCAGATTATATCCTGCACCCTTACTTTTCGAAATAAATTGAACAATATCTATTAAAATTGATGCATTTCGGGTGTCTTTTCCTCTTTGATCGTTATTTAAACATGTTTAAATGTTGATAATGCGATAACGTATACCATTTACTTCTGGAGAGTTTACAAAATTATTTGTCGCAACAATCAACTGAATAACTATTAATGTTTGAACACAGAAAATATTCAAAGTTGAAAATTTACTTTTTTTCTGAAAATCAAATTTCGCAGAAACTGAGGGTGATGACAAAAAACTGTTTACGGATTCGTATTTAGCACAGAAGAATCTATAAGAATCAGCAACTGGATGTTCGAAGACAAACAAAAAGTTAAATTTTGTTGACCAGTGTTATTACCTTTTTTCACATATTACCTTAATATTTTATTACGCAGAATGTTTAGAAGAATCCACGTACGTAAAAAAATATTTTTATTCCACAATATTTCAGTATCATAAAAAGGAAAACATAATTAATCTTGAAAACTCAGAAGATCCTCGACGAACGAAAAATTGTTATTGCTAAGTAATAGCCCTTTCCATACTAAACAACTTCGGTGATTAACCTTTTCTAATATCTCTAAAAATAACGGAGATATGATCACCATAAAATGTATATCTAACTCACCCTATACATATGTACACATACATATAGATGCGTCGCACAACTGAACGGCCGAATGGCAGGGAGAGCGCGCGAATGATTAGGCTCGCTTATTCTAGTGTGCCTGGAATTCTGGTCCTCTACAGCCCCGAAGGCTGCAATAAACGAGCGCCTACTGTATTGTGAAATGATAAAAATGTGTAGGTAAATATTGATTTTTTTCAATTTCTTGTTTCATATTTAAACAATTTTTGCGGCATTAGTTAGAAATGTTCATCTACTGGTTAATGTTCATACACTGGTGAAATCGGTATTTTTTCTTTTTAATTTAATTAATTACAGTTTTCCAATGTTTCAAATTGAAATCTATATGTTATAAAAAGGTATAGGTATTAAAAAATCTACTTTTCATGTGCCAAATATTTATTAATGTTATTATCATTTAAAATTTGACTTTAATAGTTAGAAAATCTCTTAAGTGTTCATTCCTTGGTGTGTTTACCCTACTGTTTATTCACATCTGTTAGAGAAATATGTAAAAACAGAGAAAAATAAACGTAGCTTAAAAAAAACAATGAGGGGGTTAGAATACGATTAAAGAGTGTAGACAAATTAATGTAGAAATGGAGGGAGAACGTATACATATAGCGCCGGATTAAGGAGGACTAGGGGAGAGCTATAGCCCCTAGCGCAACTTTCAAGGGGGGCCCCGATCTAAGGCTTTCGTTTATACCAAAGAATAATTGAATGAAATTTTGTTTACTGTTTCCCCTTTGAAATAATTAAAAATTGTACTAAATGTAGAAATAAATTGGATCAAAGTTGTTAAAATATAACGAAGCATTGCTAGGTATAATCAAGCGTTCGTTAGGATTAAATGATATTTAGTTTCACTTAGAATAAATTTTAATTTTTGAATCGTTAAAGTACATAGAATGATCCCTTACTATCAGTAGCTGTACTAAAAACTTTTTTCGTCAAGTACGTCTTAAATGGAACACTGTACAAGAATCATACTAGGAGTTTCTTAAAAATTCTGGACATCTCTGAACGCAACTGGACGTAGGGATCGTCAGAATAGGTTGGATCCAAGTTGCTCGGGTGCTGAAAGATTAAAATAATCGGATGCCCATCCCTAACATCTCGAATACGCCTGAGAATGTCGCCGCGTCATCGAGTGACGGAAATTTCAGGAAAAGCTGACATCATCGTAAATGTGTCACCGATCGCTACATTTAGTTTTATTGTCCCCTAATGCGAATGGAGTCGGGATCTACTCGCTTGTTCACGGCTCTGGCGACGATCCACTCTACCACGCTGCTTCGTTGTAAAGCGATCAATCACTGAACCCATGTTTAGACATCATCAAGATCAACCAGTTCGGCGCCTTTGACGAGTCAGACACGCGATATACATTTCTTCCAAGGGTACAATGGCCAGCCAGGCTGGTACTACAAATCAATTTGTACCATATGAAACTGCTATTTTTGATTTCAATTCGATATGAGTTTACAGATTTCAATGTGTTTATGTATTGAGTCTATGCAAAAGTTCCCATCGCTTGTAGATACTAAATGGCACTAAAAGGCACTGTCTGTATGTTTTCGTATTTATATTTTGACAATTGGTATTTATAACAATACTGCGGTTAACTTCATGCATAGCAACCTATATTTATTGAGAAAAGCACAGCATTCGGTGCACTTAAATACGGAAATTGATCAAATTCATATTCGACTTGTATACTGGTCCAGTTTAATCTGGGCAGATTTGCTGTTGGAACAAGAATATTGATTTGTTCTGTGTAAGAAGACAATATTTTAGGTAAAAATATGTACCGAGAGTGGTTTTCCAGATTCAGAATCGGCAATTTTCGTCTTAAAAACAAACCACGTTCTGGACGACCTTAGGAGTTAGATATTAGATAGAATAGACGACTTGCCAAATATTCCTAAATGAAAATTCGGCCCAATTAATAAAAATTACCTCTGGTCACGAATCGGACGTTTGGATGTGTAATTAAACAGAAAGGGACCGTTTTACGGAGCAAGGAAGTCGGGAAATCATCTTACTGTACGACAACGCTAATTCACATATCAGTAAACTAACTCAACAGACTATCTTAAGTTTGGAATAAGAAGTTTTTCACACTTGTTTGTCTTTTTCTTTATCTGGAAAATACTGAACTGAAATTGACGATGCACGAAATGCATCGATAACTTCGTCACCTCAAAATCGATGACATTTTTTTCTGTGTCAGAATGAATCAGTTATCTAAAGGTGGCGAAAAGTGATCGAAAGCGAGGAAAAATATTTCGACATCAAATAAATGTAAATACAGTAATGTTGGATACCCAACGAATATTTTCCCATAAATGTGCGTTAGTTACATGTATTTTTGTGAGCACTTCAAGAGTGCAAGCTAGAGCAACTTCCTTTCTTGATTTTCGTCCCTACGTATCGAACGGAAAAAAAACCGATTTAGTCACGGTCCTCAAGGACCTCGCTTTCCCATACCTCCTAAGACTAGGGACCTCTCCCAACTTTCCCACAGCGTCACTCTTAACTCTGACTTCGAACCATAAGCATCTCTGAAATACTCGATCAGCTTTATACAGAGTACAAGTGCTTATAATAAACCAGCATTTAACAAATTCGTTGTGTTATCATTTCGCGGTATCACAACAATACATACATATTGGGTTGTTCAATAAGTTTGTACTGATTTCATTTCATAATAAACTTCTTCAAATAACGGTGCCTAATGATGTATTATATACTACTCGACCAGCGTTTAGTTACCTGCATCATAATTATTATAGAATTATATGTTTCGTGTCAGTAACAATACGTTTACGTTTGAAGGCTATAGAATCTGAAACGAATAAAATCAAACACTTCTGACTCGTGTTGCTGTGCAAGTGTAATCGAAACTGTGAAGCTACTAGAGCCACCTGAAATATTTGTGCTGTTCATGGTGAACATTCTTCAGCATCCTTCCTAAGTACTCGCTGAACCTGCTCCAACAGATTATCACCTCTTTCGTTTTTTTCAAAAACGCTTCACATGGAATTTTCTTCCGGAACGATATGACACTGTAAGACTTTTTTTTTAAACGTGGAATTCATAATCTGCCAGATCGTTGGAAAGAGGCCGTGAACAATAGCGCAGCATACAAAACAAATTAAATGTTGTTGGATATTTTTGAAAAATATAAAATATAAAAATGTGTGGTGGTGAAAAACAATACAAAAATCAGTCCAATTTGATTAGTACCATCAAAGAAACATGGATGTATATCGAATATATTGAATGATATCTATACCTACATGATGTTCTTCCTCGATGAAGTTTTCTAGTTCTGAAAAGTAAACGTGAACATATTACATAAGTGTCAATAAATAGAAACTTCAATTTGGAGATACAACACATTTTGTAAGCTAAGACTATTCATGGGACATGTAAACAATTTTTACTACGCTTTGCGAGTATTAGGTACCGGAAAAAAGTTCGTTTTTCATTAACGGTAAATTAAGGAAACTTTGTTATCATTTGATCAACAATATCGATATCAAAACGTTTATTCTATCGAGTTTCCATTAACCAAATATAAAATAATGCAATGTTCAATGAAATATAAAGTTAAAGAAAAAAAATACTACAAAATCACCAGACAGTAAAACATTTGTAGTTGTCTGAGCAAATGAAATAATAAGTGATGTAGGATACTTTCCTATATGTGTAGAGATAATCGAACACTTTCTCTAATAACTGCTTCACCTCCTTATTCTGAATTTTTTTAATAAAGAAAGATATTCATTTTTATTTCGATATTTCACTTGTATGTAGCCAACCTTGGCATTCGACCACTTTCACCAATTAACAAAAACATTGTTTATAATCCACAACATGATCAATTTCATCTACAAACGTTTCACTTATTCAATCAGATACCTTTTCCATGAATGGTAATATCAGGAGACGCGATATAAAGTTAAATAGGATTCACTTGGAGAATTTCTTCAAATTGAATTGGTATACATCTGTTCAGCTACCGTTATCCAGAACATAATAAGGCTATTGTCTTGCTTTTAAATAGTTGGATATTTTTATTCTTTAAATACTATTATAATAATACTAAAGAAAAAAGCATAACGCCAGAATATCTGTTATCACCTTCTTCTCAGCTATTCGCTATCTGATAGAAGAACCTCTATGAACTTCAAAAGCATTGCGTGGCAGGTTTATCGCCGCTAACACAGCAAGACCACGATCGAAACGGGATGTACGCCTCGGTCGGGAAGCATCGACTGCCGCGAAGCTTCTCTTTTACTTTGCTACGATTAAACGTTTAAAAAAAGAAAAAGAAAAAGAAAAACAAAAAGAATGAGCTAAAATAGGTATATCGAACACTGTATACCGACGTTCCTTTGCTCGATACAAAGTTCCTGGAACATCAATGGCCAGGTTGATAAGAGGCAGCATCGAACCTCCTGCGATCTTTGTTGATTATATTCTTAAACGTCCAGAGATATAACACCGTCGAACACTGGGCTCGGTTCTCGGGTCTCAACAGAAACTACGGAAATCATACAACTCGTTTAACGCTTATTCATCCATAAAAACGTATTGCATACAGTAAAACTTGGCGAAAGAGAAAGCAGGACTCCTCTCTATAGACTCTGTTCGCAGTATCCTATTAAACAAAGTTTTTCGACAACGTTACCTCGTCAATGGAACACAAGCGGGTAAAATAGTCAGTACAAAGTGTTTTTTTTTTCTTGCGACACGGACAATTGCCCGGTGTGGCCACGTGGTGTCTTACTGGCAAGCGTTTCGCTATACAATTGTTCTCGAAACGGAATACCAGAAGCTACGGAAACCGTCACCCAAGGAGAGACACGTGGTTATTCCGCTTTGGGTTCTTCGTGTTCCCTAAAACCACACGAAATACGCTATAGATAGGAATGTATATGAGAAAACAATTTCTCGCAACAATACACGCGTGTTTAGAATCAAGACGCGGCGGGACAGCTGAAATTGTCGTTCAGAATATATGATCTCACGGGTAGAAAAATTGTTGCACGGTAAAAGGCGTTCCCTACGCTAAGATCCCACGTGATCCAGAATTCCTCGGTCGCCGCAGCCGGACACGGTAACGATGAGACGCGTCCGTCGATCTGCTTTGAGCAATTAGTCCTCGAAATAACAGCAGCTTCGCTTTTGAGGGGGGGATGAATGGACGCTAAACAAGAACGGAACGATTCTCGGTACAACCGTCGGGATAACGATGGTTCACGCAGTCACACATACGCACACATACATACATACATAGACCACACACTCACGCAGCCCCCGGGGGCACGCATACAGAGATCCTAGAGCGGTAGGTTGCGCGGTATTAGAGCGTCATATCGCGTGTCTGCAACGTTCTCTATCAGTCGTGCGCAGCGATCGATTAGGCTCGGCCTGATATGAAGATACTCAAGGTTTCTTTTGGGGAGGGGAGGGTGAACCGTTGCAGATGTACGCAATGGCTATCTACGGAGACATAGATTCTAACGATACTTCCCATTCAGGGTTCTCAGGGAAACGAGAGGGACGAGCCAGCCGCGGCGGATGGCTCTGGTCGGGGTGTGTCTTTCGCATTGAATTCCATTCTTTCGGTCGACCATTAGGCGGAGACCGACTGCAAATCGCTCATTTTCTTGGTGAGTTCCTGCAAGAAATCCCTGTAGATCAGCGAGTCTATGTTCGAGGAGAGAACGTAGAGGATCCACCAGTCGCCTAGATCGATCTTTTTGCTAATGCTGTAGCAGGTCTCAATGGAGAGCAGTCGCGACGATAAATGAAGCAGCCTGGGTCGTACCACGGGCGCGAAGATGATCGCCGCACGGTAGACCATCAGACCGATGAGCAACGCGGAAAGGATCGTGAACCAGAACCAAATGAAGATGTACGTCTTCTCGTTCACGATGTTCAGCGGCAGCACGCACAGAGAGTCGTGCGTCTGTATCGTGCCGGAGGCACCATACTTGTGAAAGATGCACTTGGTCACGCGGGGGAACACGTAGACCATCGGGTCCATTCGTTCCTCCTGGGGCACGTCGGAGAACTGCAGCACCCGGAGGCCGTAGCTGAAGAACTCGCCGTCGAAGAACCGGTTCATCATGTACATTTGAAGGAAGATGTTCACCAGACACAGGGCCTCGCAGGCGAAGTACCGGTACACGTAACTGTTGTGATTCTGGAAGAAGAAGAAGCGATGAAGGCGAGGTGGAATTGCCACGAATTGGTCTTAATGAAGGCAAATTGGATCTAACCCGGCCGGGTGCTGTCTCAGCGTGCCTCCCGATAGTTACGCCTTTCTCCTGGCTGAATCTTTGCCGCGTTGAAACACTGATACTATTCGGTTGGGGCTCGTCCTTAAATTACGTGAGGCCTTTTTGGAGAGGAGGGAGGGGAGTCGCGAATTTCTTACGTTTTCTTAGAAGGAGGTGGGGAGAAGCTCAGGTAGCTAATTATGTAATATATTTTTAACCTAATTTTCTATACGAGTAACCTAAAAAGCGATATTTCATCGCACACACGTTAGATAATTGTTTGAAGTCTCTCAAGCGACGCGTATCCACTCTATTGTCAAATAAAATAAAACTTAAACGCATCGAAACTCGGTGCAACGAAGTTCCGTGTATCTTACGAGATCAGAAGACAGGAACAGAAGAGCATAGAAAATAATTCCCTCGAAGGAAATTCACTCCACCCCATAGAATCAGTTGGATATTGGTTCCAAAACCTGGCAACGAACTTTAATTGCATATAATTCTAATTGTTACTACAAGTTAAGTTTTATGAATATGATTCTATCATTAATGTTTCAGAAAAGTAATTTTAGTTTAAATTTCCCGAAAACGAGTTAAATGAATTATCCAAACCTTTGAAAGGATTTTAATAACTTCAAAAATGCAATGCAGAAAATATTACGTAAGTAGGGGGGGGAGTGATCTAAAATCTTTTGAATTCTTATACTGGGAGAGAGAGGAGGTAAGAAGTCGCCGAAATTACCCTCACGTAATTTAAAGACAACCCCTTGACGCGCATGAAACTTCCGGTGGTTCGAATGAGGAAGTCTTTCATGTTAACAATGCTTCATTTTACCGGAGCAATTACACCATCGATTTCTATACACGTCTATTAACGAATAATCAAGTGATCTACAATCGCCTCGGAAAATATGTTAACCGACTTCCTCTAATTCTTTTAAATTCAGGAACAGTGATAGTGACTAATAGACTGCGAATATTTATGCAAATATAGAACTTTATCGATCAATTTCTCGAAACTGAACGTAAAGAAAAATTTATTAACCCTGTTAAGGGTTATGGTAGGTTCGAAATACAAAGAAAACCTCAAGAAACTTATCGAAACTTTTTAGTACACTGAATGTTACAAAATCGAATATTCTCTAAATGCATGAAATTGGCAGTCTAATGATGAACATTGTATTGCTATAAAACATGACGTTCTTGTATTTCCCTTCGACATTCATCGAACATTCACTGACGTGTTCAGCATTTATTTTAGGGGCATGTTCGCGAAATAATTGTATTAAATACAGCTGGTTGTTAACTAACTTTCCGAGGCGATTGTATGCAATTCAAGGTCACACTGATGGGGTCTAGATGAAATGAATTAACCCAATAAGCTTCTTGTAATTACATTATTCCTGAACTATGAGCAATTTGTTTGGATATCGGTATTTTTAAAAGAACAACGAAGATCAAGAAAGAACTTCACATTGAGTGAATGTCTGTCAGAGAAAGATTTAGGTAACTATTTTGGCTTACACAAATTTGCGTTAGTTCTTGTACAGTCATTGAACACGACAAGCAAGACGACAAAATCATACATTAAACTGCACGCTTTCGCTGTATATATTAACATTCCATGTTTTTAATTCTTTCGCTGCGATAGAGTCTGCTACAAACCGTACTTAGCAAACGGTAGATACAGCCTTGGCCAAAGTATTAAAAAATTAATTTTTTTTAAATATTCTTGTATTAGGAGAAAATCAAACTATGGACATGTGAAAAGAATCACTTACTATTAATTTTGTTGGGACACAATTGTCCTACTGACTGACAATCACGAGCAATTTCTTTTTGATTCTTACCCTGTTCTCTCAAAAAACGAATTAACCTGCGTTGATGGTCACTTAACTCACTCTTTTATGGCCTGTTTGAAAGAAAACTTTCCAACTTTCAAAATATCAACAGCAAAACTAAAGACAAGTTGATGTATGTTGGCAGCGAGTACTGACAGCAGACTGTAACTTTTACGAAGAAAGACAAATATAGACTATGGACCATTCAGTTGCTTTATGACCCACTGTAAACCTTGTCTACTGCTTTAACAATCCCTTTGAACTGCCCGACAAAGGATGACGAACAATAGACAGCTTTCAAAGAAATAGTTTTCACAAGCAAGCTGTAATAATAAAGGTGCCTAATACTTTTGGCCAAGGCTGTGTATATAACAGGTCAGCAAAACTGTTCAGAAGGTCAAAAAAATGTAATCAGCAGTAAAACAGTACTCTCCGACAAATGACGCAAATAATAAACGCCTTGAATTAATTGTTACCGCCAGAAAAAGAAAACACGAATAATGCGTTCAATGACTGCACTTCTTTGGGCGCCATAGACACCAATCGTACAGAATTGGTAACTTTACTGAACGCCTTCAGACGCCAACGGCAACGAAAGGGTTAATTACATAATCAAGACTGACGAGCTTTCTGTCGTCTTTTCAATGTAACCATTTTAAAAATTCCTACGATATCTCTGGCACGAACGAAGGAAATACGATTACGCCACCCGCGAATCGATAGTTTCATACGCACCAGGCCGGTGATCAGCTCGCATTTCTACAATTCCGTTTCTACTCACCTGTATGTGACTCATTAGATAATCCATCAGCACCGACTTTTTCTTCTGGATGTTCTCCTCGCTATCAAGGCCGTGATTCATGCCCATGACCAACGCGTTGATCAAACCGCCCTCCCACAAGTTCCACAGCCACTGCGGCACGTAGCACATTACCGCCTGTTCGAGCAGAAACACACATTCACATCAGTTCTCCAATCGTCGAAAGTGTGTATGGAAATAAGTCTATATGAAAGGTCTGATCAAAAAGTTCGGGGACTTTGTGTATGAATTATTTATTATTAATCTTAACAAACAATCCCATAGGATCACCATGAAGGTAATCTCCTTCTGCCTTTATAGACCTCTGAAATCTTTGTTTCCAATTTTGGAAAGGTAAATAAATACCGGAATTAAGTCTAGCTCCACCTGCGATTTCTGAATTATTGTCTCTCGCATAAGCGAAATGTCGTTCTTTTAGCACCCATTTAAGGTGAGACAAGAGAGTGAAAATTCCTTAAAATTATTCATAACCACACTGCGGATTTTTATGCAAAATAATATTTTATAATGATTCATAACGACAAGTACAAATGTAGAAATTTATTTCGTTTTTTGAGTATCTTATTGGGTTCAGAATAAAATGAATAACTCGTTACATTTGATGAAAGTTTTGTCCTTTAGTGTGTTTCACAGAGTCTCACTGGTATATAAATCAGGGACGTAAACCGGTATGATTTCGTTACCGGTATTATGCCATCAAAGGTTTACCGAAACCCGAAATAAATACTGATATTTTTTCAATTTATATGGGTAGGACTTATATAGGATTACATAGAGCGAAGGTCCAATCGAAAATACCGGTATAATACCGGTATTTTACGTTTCGGTAGAAGTCCCTGATATAAATACATAAAATCCGCAGTCTAATCATAATTGAGAGCCAAACACGGGGGTAACCCGGAAGGTAGGGTTCGAGCCGTTGCTGCTCGTGAGCAGTCAGGTACGCAGCTCTAAGTTATGATACTTGATACTGCGAATTAAGTTCGTGCCCGCGATGTGTTTACATATAGGATAACTTGCATCTAACATCGCCACTCGTAATATCTCGTGAAGAAAGTGCTAAAACCTGTTAGTAATGAACTAAACTAGTGGCCAAGCATGTGTAGGAAGGCATATTATAGTTACAACGTCATACGAGCAACGTGCAGCAAATGAGAAGTATTTCAATGAATCTTGATAGTGCAAAAATTTATTGAACCGTAACAATTTTATGTGACATTGGCAGAAGGCAAGACTAAAATTTCTACAAATACATGAATATTTATTTCGGTAATTTAATCGATTTCAACATCTTTATTTAACGAAAACATTTTTTTTCGTGTCTTGGCCAGCGTGCGTAGAGTATACCGTCTATCAGAGATGCATTCCATACCACCTACCTTTCAGTATACTCTTTGCTACCGATAAAGACAAAAATTTGCAAAGCTACAGAGCTGAACTTCCGTTGGCCAGCATATATATGATCATGATAAAAAAATATGTAATATAGAATTTTTTTCTAGATTTTTTTAAATTGTATTTCCTGATTTTTATAACAAAAACATTTTTTAAATCTAATCTCTTTTAACAAAACGATTTTCGTTAAAAACCTCGAAAAATAAATACAACATTAAAAGCTCATAAATACATAAATTAATCAAGTTTCCAGGTAGGTGAATATTATCTGCACGTTTCCACGATCCTAATTTTTGTTTGTCCTGCTTTCGTCCAATTGCCATTGAAAATGTTTAGATTTTGACAGTTCCAACCTGCCTTCTTTTTATCTGAGACTAATTAGAGATAAAAGTATTAATTACCGTTCAATAGAGAATGTTTTCAATTTGGGTAAGCGATATTACATAGGTGTCTTAGATTGCTACATTTCACAGTGTTTTTCACGTACAGGACTATCGTAGAAACAACGTGATTTCTCATCATCACAATGCTAAACATGACATGACGGAAAATATTTAATCGGATTATCATTCATTTTGGACATTGCAACACACTAACTGAATGGATTTAATTTTAGAATAGAATTAGTCGGTAAAAACAATTCGAAAACATCAACGAACTAGAAAACAGTATTCAACTATATTTTAATAAAAAATAAAAAAAGTTTTATAACGATAGCATCATAGGCCCAACAAAAAAGAAGGTGGGCAGAAGTTGTGGAAAGAGAAGGCGATTATGTTTTTTCATAAGATTCAAAAGTGTTTGAAATATTGATCTAAGTTTCGGTATGGACTCCAGCACGAACTTATGGGATGACCAGATATTTACAAGATCTTAAATGTTCCCTGTGTAGAAACTGAACGTTTCTTTATGTGATCTAATAGCGCTGGTGGCACTAAGCGTGTTAAAGTAAAAGAGAGACAGGAATGCAGAAATTGCATAGGTACAGTGTGAAAAGGAAGTATGTAGTCGTACGCTGGCGATTCTAATAGTCCATTGACAATGCTGTTTTTCATTATATGTACTATTAAGGTGACAAATTATTGTCTTCCGGTTATTCCACGAGAACTGAATTTTCTGTGAATAACACAGTCTGATAGGCATATCGAGGAGCCATTCATTTGTCAAAGTGCTTAACTCCACAGAATTTATATTTAAAATTTATATTAAATATAAACAGTTCAGTACCGATCAAGTACCTTTACCAATAAAATTTAAAAAATATTCAGAAAATAGTTTTTTTCACTTTGGTCTATGAGCGGCTCTGACACGCTTAAGAAAATTTCTTTTAACACATACTTTCCTCTTCATAATATTATTCTACTTAATATCCTCTACAATATTTTGTGGGGAATCTTCCCAATTTTCAGTGTTACCTATCATTCAACTGTTCAACTTAAAATAAAATAAAATACAAGTCAGAGGTTGAAATGGTTCCGAAAATAATTGTTTTGAACTGTTATTTATCGATTCTGACTAAAACATTTGTAAGAAATAAAATAATATTATAACTGTTATTGATATAATTCAGAACCGATTCAATATCCGTTCTATATCGGTTCCAAAACGGTACCGTTGCAGATTATTCATAACTTTACAACTCACGACAGCTTTCACTTCGAGACTTCTAAACCAAATAAAATAATCGTTCTCTAAGTTTTATGCCATCGATTAAATCTACCTTAGGTTGCACGCTGTGAACAATGATCAAGCCTCTTGTAAAATTGTAAAGTTGCAAACTTGTACATAATCTGCAACGGTAATATTCAAGGTTTTCAATAATTGTAAAGTCGATACAAGTATCGATTCTAGAACGGTTTTAGAACCGATATAGAATCGAAAAATAACGGTTATGGAACTGATATAGAACCGGTATAATATCGATTCTAAAGAACCGAATCCGAAACCGAAACCGACACCAATAGGGGTCAGAACCGTTATATCCATAACAGTTATAACATTAGTTCGATTCTCATAACAGTTTTAAGAACCGAAACCAATATCATAACAGATTTTAATCCCTGATACAGGCACCTGGTATTAGGTGTCATAGCAAGACGGTGGGCATATTTGGGTTAACTTTACTCTGAAAACAGTATATTATTTATTGATAATAGGTGTCACCGGTGTATGAACACTTTTTTCTGTAATTGTATATTAGGATGGTACACAAAATTCAACGTTTAAAATATTGCTTGAGCATCTTACCATTGTATTCTCTATGCTGAAAAACGAGTCTAGGTAAAATTTTATTACATTTCATAATATTTTAGAGATTGCTACCGGTTTATTAATATTCGGAATGACGAATCCATATAAATCTGAGAGTTACATTTACAGAGTATTTATAATGGCATTTCTTGCTATTAGTCAAGGAATTCCAATAGAAATATCATCACATTAAGAAATCGATTTTATCAGCCTTACCTGCGAAATAGATTTTCATAAATGTAAATCGAATATTCTTAAAAGTTGGTGATATACAAATTCATTTTGTAATAATATATCAATGTTAAATGAATGCGTTAAAAATCATATACTACGTCGAAAAGAAAATTACATCCATTTCACTGAACATTTTTCTTTTAAATACCATATTACTTGCTCATAAGAGACATACATTGACAGGATGCTCCGTGGATAAATGCAAAAAAAATTTTTTTTATTAACACTAAAATTACCACGGCCTGACAAGTGATCACTTTTAAACTTTCGATTAAAAATTCTATAGTCATTCTTATTTCTATCGTCACTTGATTTCACGACTTTTTCTATATTCTATAATATACATACAGTCAATGTTTCAATATCTATCTCTCTTTTTGTTCCGTTTCTTCTGAGAAACATACGTAGCCTACCCTTGTCCCGTTTCTTCTGAGAAACATACGTAGTCTACCCTTATCTATCGCGACCGGTGATTTGATCGGTTGAATATTGTATGTCCTTTTATAACGTTATCTGCACCGATGTCTCAATTCTAAATCTAGACAGCTATAATTGTTCATCGCACAGATGCACAGATTGTGTAATATGCAACAATCGAGCGGAAATCTAGAGAAACTGATGCAATTGTGGGATGAGAGACATTTAACAAGGGGGTGTTTGATCGGAAGCATGAAAGATACTGTAAATGTGGCATGACTTTGATCGAAAATGGCTAAGTTTTACTTAAGTTTAATTTTAAGCTATTATTTTGTTTATTATTATCTGTACTCAACTAATTATTACCTGCACTTAATTACAAAAAATATAACTTTCATTTAAAGACCGACCGTTTGACCAGTTCAGTAGAAATAGGTATACGCGGTTCGTCAAAAAAATCTTCACATACCCATTAAAAAGAACAACTTTTTTTAAAATTCACACAAGTGGCTTGAATTTCTTTTTTTTTTATAGTTAGAAAAATTAATTTATGAAATGATGTGTAAAAATATTTTGAAAAGTTGCAACTGTAAATTCTCAGCATGTATATAACTAACATAAATCTTCGAAATGTATTTATTAAATTTTCATGACAATATCAGATAAAAAAAATAGTAAAAAACGACTTTTACTACTTTCTTCGCGATTCCGACCAATTGCCACTTTTTCAACATGTTTTTGATACATCACTTAGCAAACTAACCCTTCTAACTTCGCAAAAGAAAAGATCAAATTACTTGATCCAATTATAAAAATGTCGTTCTGTTTTAACCTTATCGATACGGACGATGAATATACAAGTGGTCCTTAGAATGTTCGCTGTGGCCGAAGAACGAGTATACAAGTTGTCTTCGAAATGCTGTCCGTATAATGTTTTTGTTGTTAATAAATGTGCAGTTTACATAAGAATGCTGGCCGAGCTCTGATTGGTCGAGGTTTTTCGTCCATATCTCGTTGACAAAGCCTCGGATAACATTTCCGCTAAGGAAAACGGTGTTTCAAATCATCCCAAGAATCACTCATGTCTGGGTGTCGAAGCTAATTTGGGACACCCTGTATATCAAATACCGTGCCGTAGGTCCACCCGATCTTTCGGGAACCTATGACCGCGCGAGCCAGTCTCGGATATTTAATACGAAAGGCCAGAATGGGAGAAGCGGTAAGAAAGTAAAACCTAAACCGTAAGCGCAGCTGTCCAGCTGGCTTATCTGTCGCGCGTGCAAGATTACAGATAAAAACCGCGACCCTTACCTGGAAGAACAACACGAAGCACACCCACTGGTAGTAAGTGTAGTATTTCCTCGCGTCGACGTCGCCGAAGTCGTTCGCCACTCCTGGATGGGCGACCTCCACGCCGACCTGCGACAAATCAGCTGCTTAATAATAAGACTATGACGGAACCAGACCTTAGCAGTTCTGAAATGATATTCCTTGAAATGGTATTTCAAATAACATGTTATTTTATTTCATAATTATTTCCATGCCTGTGATTACGTCTGAAATATCATTATTTTAAATATTATTTCAAATAGCATGTTTATTTTATTTTCTAATCATTTGAAATGATTCTTAAAAATAATTGTGAAATTGTTCGAAATTGTATCAGGTGACTATGTAGGTCTGAGTTTGATTTATTGACATTTTTCTGAAGAGTAACACTCCTCTTCCATCTTCCACACCAGTCTTTCGCGAGAATATTAAACAGACTTGCTATTAAACAGACCCAATTTTTTTTTCTTTTTTCTGTTTTTATTTATTTTTGGAGGAAACACCCGACTTTCTTAACTGACAACGTGAAGGTTTACTTCACATCGGTGAAACTATGGATCCATGCGGACATATGTTAGATATTAATCGGTGACAAAATTTGACGCACTTTTAAAATGAGTGTTGCACCGATGCAACATTAACCGTTAAAGGATTAACCCCTTCGCACCGGTGGACGAGATATCTCGCCACGTGATTTCGTTCATGATATGCTTTGGACGATCTCGTGAAAGCATATCATGAACGAAATCACGTGGCGAGATATCTCGTCCACCGGTGCGAAGGGGTTCAAACGAATGCCAGAAACGTAATAATTAATGAATCCGAACACTGGAATGCGTGTGTACAGTCTCGTTGAAAATACATTGAAGTGACCTAAAAACACGTCTTCGATATCTATATAATTTTCAGAATAAAATTTTTAAATTAATTATTCTCGTAACTTTATAGTCACAACACCTCGGAAATACAATTTCCCCGTTGACATACGACACACAGGATAAGTATCGGAATTATTCTATTAATATCAATAGTCGAAATCGGTTGTTCAATGACAAAAACATAGCTTGTAATCTACGTGTAACAGTCGGTACTGTCGAGAGTTAAATTCAGTTTAGCCCTGACATGTAGCTCTAACTATACTGTATTTGGTTACTGTCCATACGGTAGCCACTTTACGAATAAAATTGTTGCTCGTCGATCCTGATATGTTCACCGTGACTCAGGCGTACACAATGAACAACAGAAGTGTTCTTAACGCATCAGAATGTGAAGAAAAAGGAGTTATGTATTCTAGTATGTTATTAATTATACTGGAATATGTGTGTATTTGTACAGTGCGGGAGGAAGTTATAGAACATTTCATACGGGCGCACACCGGGACAAATAACATACCTAGCTGAACTAAAAGTAGTCTCCAGCGGACTTTTTATTTTCTTTTTATTAATTATATACTGTCTAAGATAAAATACATTAAAACTATTAAAACAAGACAAAATACATAAAAATAAATGGTGATAAGATATAATATCGTATTTTTCGCTGTTTTAAAAATTTAAATAATATAATAAATTTGAACATTTTTTTTCATGAAGTGAAAAATGGTTACATATTATGTCTTGTTTTAATAATATTAATATATTTTATTTTAGATAGTATATAAATTAATAAAAAGAAAAGAAGAAGTTCGATACAGACTACTTTAGACTTGTCCACCTTGGTGCAAGTTCCCTTCTTGTCCCATATGTAGTGGCAGAAACATCAGATAGTAGGGCTCTTACTAAATATTACTGGCATTTTCGGATATCCGAGTCTTGAGTATCCGCGTACCCGGATACCCGTAAAACTTATGGGTTGTTTTACTTACAATTAGATTCGAGTATTCGGATGCGGATCCGGAGAGAAGTGGAGATGTGCTTGATTTATATTACTGCGTAAGTATTGATTCTAGTGAAAAATGTTTCAGATGAAAGTTGTACGGTTTCGAGGGGACCATAATTTGATGTAATTACTTTTCTTTTAAGTGGATACGTAAAGGATATATGAAGGTCAAGTTTGTTTCTTTAAATGCGATCATATATTTTTTAGTTCGTTAGTCGATCCAGATTGTAATTCTGCATAAAAAAAGTATTAACCTATTCGTATAAAAGAACCATTACTTTAAGGGATATTTGCATTTCAATTATTCGAAATGATATACCGGCTTTCCGCGTGAACAGTATACAGTCCGTTGATGCCTAATCACGTGATCTAAAAAAAAATATATAATTCAATATCAAAAACCTTGTGCTTCACATCTTTGAAAATAATAATGTTAAAAAAAAATTCGTCATGGTCCTTTAATTAGCCCATCGTGACATTCAATTTAATGTAGACAGTTTTCTCGTATTTGAAATAGTTTAGGAAATAATGGACTCTATACTGTTCGAGCGGGCACCCTGTAGGGCAATACCTGTAAGCAATAATTTGGGCGAAAATTGCTACAGATGAAATCTGCATGGTTCGAACGGGATCACATAGTGAATTATTCGATTTCTTTCTATCATTAGGAGTTTTCGAAATTTCGAAGATATCTTCAATTCTTTAAATGGAAGTCAAATTTTGATTCAATTACCAGAGTTCTGTATAATAGTGTAACAAATTCAGTGATATGTATTACGATGATCATTGGATAATTTTTAACGAAATTCTGCCAACTGATGTATCGAAAACTGGTTCTGCATATGTTTGACTGTTGGGAAATCGTGACAATGACATAAATAAAAGATTATCATTTTGTAAATATCTTCTATTCTAGATGGTGATTTTACGTGTGTTTAAGTTATAAAAACATTAAGAAAGATATTCAAAGTGTTGTTCTTGGACGTCAAGACACTTTCGAATTCTTTATTCTAAACTATCTCGATGAATAATTCACTGTGTGGTCGCGGTTGAGCCATGCAGATTTCGTCTGTAACAATTTTCGCCTAAGTCAATATTTTGGGAGTTATCACAGTGGTGCCACATATGCCACTTCGAATAATTAAAGTTAAAATATCTCTTAAAATAATCGATTTTTTATATGAACAGGTTAATATTTTCTGTGTAAAATTACGAGCTGGATTGATTAACGTAATAAAAAATATACAATTCCGTTTAAAAAAACAAACCTGACCTTCATATGTTCTCCACGTATCCACTTACAAAAAAACTAATTATGTCAAATTATGTCCCCCTCAAAACAATTCACCTTTTATCTGAAACATATTTCCGTAAAATTATTATATACGCAGTAATTGAAGTGGTTCGAGTTACGTGCTCCGCCCTGTATACATATGTATTCGAGTCATTATGATACAAAATCCGAAACCGGGTACTCGGATACTTTGATCCGGATAGTAAGAGCTCTAGTTCAAATAGTAAAACCCATCGAGGCAGACGTATTTCACGCATATTTTGCCCGTATTTTCAACAATTAATAACTTTGAAATGAAGCCTCGAACGCAATTTCGTCATTCTTGATTTTTGCCATACTTTGATATGTAGAATCTATGCGGTGGAGTTTCCCACATTTTAATTAACACCATGTAGGAACATTTTGCAGGTAAACCTCGCTTCAGTGGTATCAGAATTATTTGAATAAAATTTATTTATTGGAAATTACTAGAGCAACATTTTCACTTGCACACTGAAGACAACTGTACACTCTTACTCCCATACGGACGACATTTTGTTTAATAAAAAGATTTGCAAGAAAAATATTTTCTGAATACTTATTTAACGGGTTTTTAATAATTGAGCCTCCCAGTTGTCAAACTGATCAACTCTGTGAAATAATGGGTGGAAAGCTAACTATGGATTATTCATTTAATAAATTAGTATAATGTACTTTTGTTACAAAACAAAACGAAGTGGTACAAAAAGAAATTCTCTGGTTCACAGATAAATCGACCGCTTATTACGACGTTGCGACCGTTCCAACTGCGCCAACGTATTCCTTTTGTTGCTTCATTCAAAGGGATGACAAAACGGAAATTTTCTATGTTTGAGAAAATCACGTAGAATAATACACAAGACTACGAAGATACAGATTTTCATAGACTAATTTATCATAACTAAAATCAAATATAGATATATGCTTACTTTGCAAAAGGTTCTATCAGACTTGAAATAATTTGAAAACCTCATTGAATTTTAGGAAATTTTTCATTACAGTACAATTTACACAATCGCGTCTGCTGTAAAATCATACAATTCTGAATCGATTAGTAAACTATTTGGAAGTTATTTAGAGAGTAATGTTTGTTGCATTTAACAATGTCAATAAGGGTTAATAGCAATTTACGACTGCTGGAAGTGTTCAATCTATAGATTGGCCCAAATATTGTCAATGAACGCCGGAAACTGAACACGCTACGATCCCCAGTGGCTATCGCGAAGATTACGAAAAGTGTAAATGAGTTCGAATATTATCAAGATAAGAATGATTAGCAAATTAGCATAAGGTGAGGCGAACACAGTTGAAGACACCTTTTTATAGTCCTGAAGTTTTAAAATAGGTACAGTAGCAATGTTTTGCGTTACATAACCGTAGATAATGCCTACATAGAACCGAAGCTTTAAATCGATGTTTTCTTGAAAGCGCGCTTTTCAAAACAGGTACATACCTAGAAAATAACAATGTTTTCTAACATTTTTTTGAAGTGATTTGCTTAAGGTCAAGGAATTTTAGAAAAAATCAACTGACTTAGAAAAATAGCAATACTGATTTTACAAAAAAACACGTTCCATAGCGTCCTATCCATAGCGACATCATTTTAAGTTAGAAAAGTATTCGATATTTTTATTCAGATAAATCGTTTTTTGTAAACATTGTATGCCGGTGTCCGCAGACAAGGTTCGGAGTAGTACATTTTACAATCTATTAGGTACACATTATCAAGTACACTTTTTCGTAATAAACAATACTCGTTAATATGTATTCTTTATGTAAAAAGTAATGTTTATAATGCTTCATTTGATAGTTCGCTTTAATTTCCTATGGAATTGAAAGCGATTTTCATGCGCCTATGGTGATATATCCCTTTAAGAATGCACTCGTTCCTTTTGGGGTCAAAAATAGGTTATTTTCTGTTTTCTCTTCATGTATATATACATGTTGAATAGAAATTTATATTAAAATTGTTCTTTATAATAAACAAAATTCAATTTTGAAGAATTTAAAAGGTATTCCATGACTGCCATAGTGCTTGATAAAGTAACAGACAAGATGACTTGAAACTTTATACATGTACATATCTTTGTAAAGCGTAAATAAATTACAAAAATATCGCGAATATTCTTATACAACAATAAAGTAAAATTGAAGAGTTTGTTGAAAAATCGATTATTATTTATTGTTGTAAAAGAATATTGGATATTCTTTTAATAATAAGTATATACTTTCAGGCATCACCATCATGTTTATCCTATTTTGTTATCAATAAGTGGAAGTATACATAAAGTATAAATGATAAATAATCGTGAATTGTTCATTTTAGGCCATCTTTATCTTGGCCAATTTTTTTAGTCAAGTCTGGTTTGTTTTAACCGTGGAAAGAACTCAAAAGTCGCGCTTCAATTTATAACATTTCTAATGTTGAATTATATTTAACATAAAAAATCACAAATTGTCCTTAATCCTCTTAAGAGGGTTTTCTGGTTTGGAAGCGTATATTTTAGAGGTGTTTTAATCATTGTTTTCTAGAAGAAATATATTAGTTGCCATTATTCTAAAGTATATTTATTATTAAATTATTAGAATTTGTTAAGTCTACATATTTATTAAAGTATTTTTGTTTGTAAAAATTCGTATCAGTAATCGTTCAGTGCTGTGTCGATTTTGAGTGTTCGGTCCTTGTGCCTTGTTCCCTCTATTGTGCCCCCACTTTGTGCCATCCTATCGGATAGTTTGAAATCAGACATTATAATTGATTTACAATCTACATAAGTTTAGTTTTCGTTTAAACTACGATTATTCACCTCCAATGATATTTTCTATTTTTCGTGGGTTGAAAGTGTAAAAATTTATAACAATCGCATTATTTTGCTTTGAACAGACGTCATTTTGAAAATTATTGTTCAAATTCAATATCCGTAATTCAGACGAAAACTACACTTATGTAGATTGTAAATCAATTTCAATTTCTGATTTGAAACAGTCCATTCATCCAGTAGAATGGCAGAAAGTGGGGGGCACACGGTCCGAACGCTCGAAATCGACACAACATTAAATGATCCCCAGCACGAACTTTTATAAACAAAAAGTTTTTTAAAAGTTCAACAAATGTACTGTAATAACATATATACGTTTGACTGGGAAACAATATATCTCTTCTAAAAAACAAAATTACATATTAAAACCCCTAAAATATATGTTTCTAAACCAGGAAACCCTCTTAACCTATTAACTGGATAGTTTATCGAATCTCAATTACTCACACATGCAAATGCAACACAAGAGAGACGAGTAAAAATGGTTTTGTTACCTACTCCAGTAACAAACGCGAATAAAGTATAAATTCTACGAGCCCAAGTGTCTCGATACAATTGAATACAAGAATGTTTACATAACTAAATGGAAAAGTGATAAAATCTTTGGAAGACATAGCCAATTATAAATGACAGCTGACTCGTCTCCCCGGTTAACAGGTTAAAAGTAAAACTTGGCGGAACGCGACTAACCTTTGCGCCGACGTAATAGCATCAACGAATAGGTGCGGAGAATGGTAACCGAGAAGCGCGGGGGATTAAATTTAAAATCAGTGGCGTAGCGGTCAAAGAAGATTACCCACCTGTCGATTGAACGCGTCCGGCATGGTGAACGTAGACGTGATCCAGCAATAAGTGTTGATGGGGTGCGGGGGTAAACCTTTAACGATACAGGAGATCGGATTACCGACGTATTGGGTGGCCGTGATCACCATCGAGCACGTGAAAAGCAGCACCGTGGTGAAATGGTTGTGCAACCGAAACACCATCGAGTCCGTCGAGATTTCCTGCCATTTCAGGTAATGCCCGAGATCCCCTAGTAGCTTGTACATGGTTGTTCAGCGTTGCGACCCCGATGGGTCGTCGGTATTTCAGAACTCGTGAGGTGTAACTCCTCGTATCGGCTGTCACGAAACGGAGAACACCGAAGTGAGGTTATATCGCGGGGGAACAACGATAGGAAATCCGTGTGTGCCTACGTCGATGATAATCTCCGCAGGACCTCATCTACCGCGCACGCCACGAAAAGCAGTTAAAACGAAACACGAAACGAAACGAACACACGGATCGTACACGGCCGTGTCCACGCGGCGTTGCCTCCCTCTTTTCCTTTTCTCCAGTTTCTCCTTCTCCTTCGACCTTTCGTCCTTCTTCCTTCTTTCTTCTTCCGCCCCTACTCCGACGGGTTCTCGTTTCTCGTTCTTTCTCCGAGCGGCTGGCTGCACGTTCGGTCGGTCTCGTTCGTGCTCCGCGCTCTCAGCCGATCGGTCACCGAACCACACGGTTCCCTCTAACGAAATCACTACGTTTTAAATTCTTCTGGTCAATGGAGAATTCAATTCCACGACGAGCCGCTGACAAGAAGACACACGTGTCCTACCACGGCATCTCCCTGTCTCGATCAGACTGAATCGATCCCGTATATACGCACGAGAGAAACACGTTCAACAAGGGGTCGCGTAAACAAATGCCGGTCCACCTGGCGATTCTACGATGTCTCTTTCTGTTCCCACACGTGATCTTCCTTGTAGGTAACCACCCGACGCGGTCAAAGGCCTGAGTTACGTGTTTATTTCGGAATTACGCGCGTGGTGTCGTTTCCCTCGATTTCCGTTTTTTTCCCCTCAAAGAACGCGCGGCAGTGGCTGCGTTGTCGAGCGTCGCCGCTTCGTGTCAGAGATACACACTCACTGTCAATTCTTCGTTCGCCCGAGAGGATCGGTCGCGCAACGAGAAACCTAGGCTGACGTAAAATTGTGCAACAGCCTCTCAGTGGTGTCTCTCGATGGCGTTGTTTACCTCTCCTTCTTCTCCCTCTTCCTCGCTCCTTTTTCCTTCGCCGTGTGCCTGTCTGTCCACCTCCTGTCCCTCCCACTCTGTCTCTCTCCCTCTCTTTCTCCCTTTCTTTATTCACCGCAGCACTTTTTCTCGCTGCACTCGATATATCAGTGCAGGTAGGATCGTACGAACGGACGAGGAGCTACGTGCCAACACCGAATCCTTGTGTCGGCAATATCACACGTATGCACGCGCTTAACAGTCCTCTCTTCAACGTCCGACTGACGAGAAGTCAGTGGCTTGTTGTTCAGTCGGGGGGCGAGAGGGAAACTCTTTCGATCTGCCAGGGGGACTGCTGTGGAGTAGAAACGAGTAGGAGAGGGCCCCGGTAGGTGGGGATCGAAAACGGTGGGGGACCGACGACGACGGCTGCTTCAAACTCCCCCCTAAGCTCGCGCCAGCATTCTATACTTCGTACCCTGTTGTCCATAGTGTATGCTCCTGCTGCCCTCATCCGATCCGCTCTGGCTACCGTGTGGCGCGCTACGAGAGTACGCGTACTTACATACTTACGTTCACCCTTTTTGCTAATTTTTCGCCCATTTTGTTCTGGGAAACCCCTGAACAGTATGCTAACCCCTGTAAAATGTATTCAGGTTGAATCATAAATAACGTTGAGTGTAGTCTCTAAAAAGAATTAGAAAAGAAACAGCGACGATAATAAAAATATGTGGACTGAATAATAATTACCGAATTCAATAATGATCGAGAACGCGTAATTTACTAATGTTAATTTGCAAAACAACTGCGTGCATTTGAGACAGGACAACGAAATTTACATGTGTACTCAACCTAATATTGTATTTGACCGAGTAACGTATGTATTTCATTGGTGAAGGAGATGTGAGTCGTACGTACAAAATCGAGTTGGAAATGAAGTTATGTAACCTAAAATAATTTTGATTGGTTAAATTAGTCGATACTAGATTGTCTACTTTTCAAAGAGTTTTGGTATAAAATACGTAGACTAAATAAATTAAAATTATTATAGAATGAGGATAAGTGAATCCCATAAATTCTTTGGGTCCATGAACTTTGGAGTTACATTTTTGACAAATGCCGACATCCATATTACTTCAACGACAATAATATGCTTTCAATGTAATAATATTTACACTCTATTCGATATAATATTTAGATCAACAGATAATGCAGCTATGGGTGAACCACAAAATTTTTATCACGAAAGCACTGTTTCGCCGCATGTGCCGAGTTTTATTATGGTATCACGCTAAAGAAATCACTTTTATTGCCCCATAACATGCTCTATCTTTTCCAACACATTTTCAGGAATACCTAACACATGCACCGTCGTGACGGTCACCGATGACCGACGCCAAGTTTTCCGTGTATGCCTCGTCGCTCACGGGATGACTATCATTTTAATGCACAATAACCCTGTTTGCGTGAACGGAAACATAGATGAAATACGTTTCTGAATCTTGTTTCGCTTCGTTAATTAATCGATAATTCGAAACAGTTAGAAAAAACTACATTTCACATTATAACGGAACGGAGCAGATGAGTTAGGCCGAGAAAGAACTCGTTTATCTTTTCACAGACGACGATAATTACCAGCCTTTTCTACGAATTAACACACACATTCAACCCGACCTGCTAATGTTAACAGTATCGTGTGTAAATAGGAACTGAATTTTTTCAGATGAAATAATAGCACGTTTCATGGAAACTGTAATTTGTTGGACCAATGAACTTAAACGTATGTTTTGTTACACGTTTTGTCCCATAAATTGCCTCTATTAACCGTTACAGTATTAAGTAATCTTTGGCTAGTCGGCTAGTCCATGATTCTAGAATCTGATTTCTTATGATCTTATCGTCTCAAATTGTTTTAAGGAGATTCAATCACATATTTTCATTGATTTTCACATCATAAAAATGAACGGGTCAGTTCAAGACTGTTATATTTTTTTAAGACAAGTCGCTTTAGCAAGATAGGTAGCAGAATGGTTCAGAATCACAAAAACATGACAAAAACTCAAAAAATAGATATTCAACCATAGGCCAATAGCTAAATGTATGTATACTTCACTAGTTTATGTATAATTATTTTATATTTTTTACCCTTGGCCACGTATAATTTGTCTTCTTTCATTGTGTGCTTTTTTCAGTAAATTTGAAAATGTAATTGCGTTATTCCATGGAATTCCGAAATGATATTAACGAGGCCAGCACCTTAGAGAGTAAGTAATAAAACAGATATAAAATATATTTTATTTATAAAATCCTTTTTTTTAATTCAGAAACTTGTTTTCGTTTTGAACGACGCTTAATTCACTTTACGTATTTTAATGTTGCTGCGTGTAGTTACAAACCCTGAAGAAATTCTGCAACAACATTGTCAGCTTCTATTTTTTACATTGCTTTACATTGATTTTAAGTGATTATAATACAATTTGCGAAAAATATAACACCTCTAAAGTTTACGCCATGTTTTTGTACTTTCTAACCACTGTGATACATGTGACCCACCATATTGTCGTGGCAAAAAATCTAGCATATTTCATATTCAATATAATTTTCATCGGCACTATTAATAACGCAGCACTTGGCTGTTTTTATTTTTAATCTTGTTAAATCTTATGTATGTTCTACAACTTCACGAAAATCATTACTTTTTAGGTTAGCGCAATATACAAGTAAAGAAATATGTACACTAGAAACTCGTTTACTGTAGCGTTCGGGGCAGTGGAGGGCTAAAGTTCCAGGTATACTGCATTAGGCGAGCTCCAATCACCCGCGCGATCTCCCCACTACTCGGCCATTCACTTGTTGGACGTAGTTACATATAGGGTGGGCTGGAAATACACACTGTCCGATCACCGTTACCACCATTACTATCTTCGTTATTGTTAGAGATTTCAACAAAATTTATTCGCTGAAGTTATTGAGTATTGAAACGTTGCGTTGTAACAATATTATATATACCGCACTTTCTATGACGAAAAATGTGCGAGTTAAACGCGACACCGTATGTACACTAATCGTTCCTTGCTGAGCCCCCACTCTGAGCGACAGAGTGGGGTGCGCACACGTGTGTGAGAAATGCGTGTAAGCGAAGAGCGTTCCTACGCTGTAATAAGTATAATAAAATAACCTGCAATAAACGAGCTCCTACTGTAACGTAGTCGATTTTTTAAAAACAATTCATAAGAACGTTTCAACAACGCGTAGTAAATGCAATCAAGTCATGAATAATCTTTTCCGTATATATTTTCATACTTCATTCTTATTGTACGGTTTAATTTAGCCAAAATTTCTTATGAACGTACCGGATCAATTTTCAATCCTTGTTCCGCATACATATTGTTGTTTGTGCGCACAAGAGACTTACTCCCGTTTATAAATACACTTGCTGGCAAAAATTCAATATAAATCTTTCTGTCGTAATTAGTCTCATTTTCCCCTGTGCCCCTGTTGACGACTTGAAACTTTTTTGTGTCACATGAATGTAGTTTGTTTATTTTTATACAGTAAAGGCTCCATAAGAGTTGGATAAGAACTTTCTCGTGAAAGTTTCTACTTCATCTCTACCACTACGGGGAGGGGGGAGGCGTGGAACCTGTCAAGCGCATAATTTTGCCCTCTCCCCCTCCCGTTTTTGTTGCCGAGGATTGGGTTTCGAGCAAGAAATAGACTTGTGAGATGTTGAAACAATTCGTAGTGCACCATGAGAGTTTTGAAGCTGTCCTAAGTCTTAAACTATCATGCAGAGTTCTTTTTGAAACTCTTATGCACTTTCAGAGCCTTTACTGTATACTGAAAAAGAACCTGATTTCAGATCGCTGCATAGATTCCTTATCCATTTCCAGGATGCATTACACAGCAATTTAATTCTATAAATAAAAGTTAACATTCTATGTTACACTCTACTTGTCGACTGAATTCACGGTCTCGAGAAATAACACTGTTCAACAAATCCTACCTGATAACCGTTCAGAAGCGTTTCTGATAGATTTTTATAATCTGAATACGAATCTGAAAAACGTTTCTTCCCAGAATGTTCAGTTATTGAGAAATCAATTTCTTTTTAAATTGTAACTTTTCAACTTTGGAGGTGTGTTGTGCTTTTACGCGGTGTTTTTTCACTTTGATCATTATTTACCTAAACATATTTAAATGTCGATAATATAATAGCAATTCACATAATTTTGTTCGAAAGAGTCTAGAGAATTGTTTCATGCCAAAAGCAACTGAATAACTATCACTGTGAAAGTATAACACCCCTCTAAAGTTGAAAATTTTCAAATTAAAAAAAATTGATTTTTTCAAAAACTGGACGTGTTAGGAAGAAACGGTTTGCAAATTCGTATTCAGCTTATAAAGATCTATCAGAAACCCTTCTGAACGGTTATGAGGTAATTTATGTGTTGAACAGTGTATGTAATATGTGTGTGGTCAGTTTCTCAGAATGTAGGACATATCTCTCCTTTCGTCTTCTGAAAAACTGATGGTCAGACCTTTTCACAGCAATCCAAAAATTGCGTTATGTCTATTCTATAATCAATGACTAGATCTTTTGCAGAGATCTAATGTATTTAAAATACCAATAATGAAATTTTCATACGCGATAAGAATACTTAAATGAATCTTGATCTGCAAAGTTTCGTACACTCGACGAGTTTTAACAACCGTATTCTCTGCGGTCATTTCGATCGCTCGTCCCTCTTTTCTTTTCACTCTACCCTCCGTGGCCAGGAATATCGTAATGAAAGTAAATCGGTTTAATTCGATCGTTAAATTCAATTGAACGATGCATTCGCCGAGAGAATGCGTAAGTCCTCGGTGATCTTTGTACTCGCCAAGAAATACGTACGATCGTTCTTAGAACTTATGTGTATTGTTTTTGTATAGCCAGCGAGAGCGTACAAATTTCTTTTTATTGAAGAATCAGGCATTATTGCTATTAATCTTAATTTAAATAATTGTGTAAATAAGGAATTATTTCTTATTTGAAAGTTTAAATGAAAAGAAGAGATGGTTATTTGTTATTTGAACAAATCTATGTAAATTTTTTATAATAATGAAGTTATTTTTATTTAGAAATGTAGATTTAATTACTGCTTGGTAAATATTATTTATTACTTATCGTTAAACAAACACGCAATATCTATTCTATATAATATATGTTTACAAAAAGCATTGGTGTTTATTTAACAAATATCGATGAAAAATAAGAAATAAGAGAAATAGAAAAATG